CCCAACTAATAGTTGACTGTGTGAAATTAGGAACGAAATAGTCAACCGTTATCTTTCCGTTAACCAGTTAACGGTTTGACTATTTCATTCCTAATTTCGCGCAGTCAACTATTAGTTGGGGAATAATTCTGCGCGAGCAATACTTGAGTATTAAAACTGCCGATTTCAAATACTTGGGGAATTAATTGCCCATTTTCCCATTTATCCAACGTATTTTTTTTTGGGAAGCTACAATTATTTTACGAGTAATATGATCAATCTCGCGCAAAGATACCTAGAACATTTCCAGCTGATGGAGTTGAGTTATTCATTTGAGTACTATCATATATTTATATTAGTATTTGTAATATTAGTTAATTTGTATTCCCTCTGTTCCTAAAAGATAGACTTTTTAGTGTTTTCACACATATTAAGAAAACACATTAAATCACTATCGTTTTTAATAATTTTCAATTTTCAACAACTTTTAGCTAATAGTAATCTAATAAAACCAATTAATTTTTTTGAAACTTGTAATTTTCTCATAGAAAACATAGAATATACATCTTTTTGAAACAAAATATTTTTCCAGAACATAGATCTTTTAGGAACGGAGGGAGTATATTGTACGTAATTTTATCTTTAAACAAAATTAACAATTCAGAATATGCCTATTTATAAAAAAAATAGAACCACACCATAAGAAAAGTAAGACACTAAATCACATAAACAGAAGAAAAGTAAGACACTAAATCATAGGAGAAATAACATAAATTATTTGGAATATCATAAGTTGGGTACCAGTTTTCAAAAAGTATATATTCAATCAAAAATATTCTAATATTTGAGTTTAGGTTTACTGGTTGTTGTTTAAAGTTTAATATTTAGGAGATGAAATTGAGTTATTTTTTTCAAATGTTTTATAAATTCTTTTTCAACATTTAGGAAAGTTAATTTAATCCTTCATCACAAATTTATGATACTTATGAATGAGAACTTAAGAGATCTGAAGAATGAAACTTTACTTTTATTTCTCTCAACTCAAAACTTTACAAAAGACCCTAGCTTTCTTATATACAAAATGACATAAAAGAAACCACAAAACCCTAATGTTCACGTTAGCATACACCAGCCCCTAGACAGTCAAATCTGTTAACAATAAGGGTGGTGTGAGTTGGCTTCTGAGCTGTCTTCACCGTACACTGAAGACGACAAGAACCGTTGTGGTCCTTCCTCTGCAACACGCCAACTCTGTTTCTTGTAACGGTGTTAACGACATTTTGAACATTGGACTTCATGGGCTGAACCCCAACCTTCTCTTCTTCTATCCGAGGCCCATCAACATATTGTGTGCTTGGTCTAATAATGAAAACAGTTATTTTTAAAAATAGATTTGGAAAATGATATCAAATTTATGGTAAAATTGAAATTTCTACGAAAACGAAAAATAAATCGGAAAGCCTTTTTCAAAAAAATAAAAATAATAAATAATTCGGACAATCAAAGACCAAATTCACTTTTAACTAATAAAACCAAAAGCATGATGATCAAAAATATTTCAAACCATATATTTGACGAAAAAGATTTTCTGCATAGAAACATGCTCCATTTATGCAAAAAACCACACTTGAAATACATGTATGGAACCTCTGCCCATACCTTATAACATGTTTCTTTTTATAATTTAATAGAAGTATTAGAGATTCCTATAGAAAATTGTAAAAAAGCATTTTTAATTTCAGAAATTTAATTTATGGTTATAATATTCAACACAAATTTATTTAGTTTAGGCAGAGTATATAAATATTTCTTTATTATTTATAAATCCCTTTCTAAAAATATATGGTTTTAAATTTGTGATAAAACGGAAAAACAACAAAAAAAAAACAAAAAAACGAAAAACCATGGTTAAAAATAATAAACCGAACAAGGGTGGTATGGTTCTAGTAATAAACCGAACCACTAAACCCAACAAAAGACAAGAAACACAATTCCCAAATTAACTAACTGGTTAGGGCAAAAGAAGAAGAAGAAGACAATCCAATCCATGGCGGACAGAGTCGCAGAGAAGCCATGGCGAGTTCTCGAGTTCTACAGTGGAATCGGTGGAATGGTAACACTCTCCTCTTCACCTCTACTCTACGCGCATACTAAAACCCTAATCCCTGTTTTTTTAGAGATACTCTTTAATGGCGTCTGGAGTTGTGGCAGAAGTAGTAGAAGCGTTTGAGATCAATGATGTTGCCAATGATGTTTATCAGCATAACTTCGGACACCGTCCCCATCAGGTTTGCTTCTTGTTCTCAGTTTCTGTTGAAGAACTAAAGAGAAAAAAAACTAATGTTCAAGTAATTGCTTAAGCCCTAGTTATGTCTTTTATATGGGATTATTAATTAGGAGAATGCCTAAACCGATTTAAAAAAAAAAATGTTTCGAAAAAATCGTTCAGCTTAGGTTTGATTTGCTGACCAATTTTTAGAACAGTGAGAGAAACTATGCATCTCCATTTAGAGCCCTATGTGTTTCTTTTGCTGCAAGCATTGTTACGTTTGTAACTTTGTACATGATGCTAGTTTCATGTCTTAAAGTTCGTGAGTTGTTTTAGTTTCAAGTATGATCCTCAACTCGGTTTTGTTTTTTCTGGTGTATGTTCATAGGGGAATATTCAGAGCCTTACTGCTGCTGACCTAGATAAGTATAATGCTGATGCTTGGCTTCTTTCTCCTCCTTGTCAACCTTATACTAGACAAGGTGACTCACCTCTGTCTTCCTTTTACTATCACTTAACTTATTTTTATGTAGCGGGTTATAGTAACTGTTTTATGGTTAGGCCTTCAGAAACATTCTGGTGATGCTCGGGCTTCTTCGTTTCTAAAGATTCTTGAGCTTATACCCCATACAGCTAAACCTCCACAAATGTTGTTTGTAGAGAATGTTGTTGGATTTGAGGTTTGTGTTTGTTTAATCAGATTATTTGTACTTGTTTTTGATATCTTTTTTTCTAAAGTTATTGGTGGTGTTTGTTGGTGCAGACTTCGGATACACATATGGAAATGATTGATACATTGACAAAATCAGATTATGTCACACAAGAATTTATTTTGAGTCCGTTGCAGTTTGGTGTACCGTATTCAAGACCACGTTACTTTTGTCTGGTACTTTCTCTTTACCTTTTTATTATGTGATTCACCTCTGTGTCGCTTTTTTATGCATGGCTCCTAATAGGTCTTTCTCTCAGTTATTTATGGTTCTCGTTTTGTTTCTCTTTTTCCAGATCTTTTTGTTTTTGGTTAAAGCATCTCATGGACTTTGAAATCATTTCATTCTCGTTACTGTTTGTAGGCCAAAAGAAAGCCTCTGTCATTTCAGTCACAGCACAATAACAACAAGCTACTCTGGTCCCCAGGCCCGTTATATGGGCGTGATGATCAGGTGGAGTTTGGAAAATGTCAAGCAGAAGAGGGATTTGAAAACTTACTTGAGTCTTGCGAACCAGTAGAGAAGTTTCTTGACTCAACTGCACAAGTAAACGGCGAGCCAGGTAGTTTTGACGAGTCTGAGAATGGAACCAGAGAATGTGATAGACAGGAAGAAGATCCTGTCTCAGACTCTGTACATCAATATCTAGTACCATTAAGTTTGATAGAGAGATGGGGAAACGCAATGGGTATCCTTTTATGATGTCATCTTCTTTATTTTTTCTCACAGATATAGGACACTCGTTCAAAATCGATCATCTACCTGTTTTATATTTCCTGAGCTACTTGTAGACATTGTATACCCTGATTCGAAGAGATGCTGTTGTTTCACAAAGAGTTATTACCGATACGTGAAGGGCACTGGTTCCCTCTTGGCAACTGTCCAGGTATGTTCTTCCTTTTTACAATATTGTTTTTCTCTATTTGCTAGTGCTTATCGTGAATCTACTATGACCACGCAGCCAAAAATAAAGGGGAAGGAATCTTGTTTAAAAGAGCAACGGCTTAGATACTTCACCCCAAGAGAGGTTAAGCAGAGTTATTTTCATCTGTATTATTACCAATGCCTCTACTTAAAAGAGTGAAGATCAGCTTTATTTCAATGGAAGATGATGTTTGGTTTCTATTTTGATTAGGTAGCTAACTTTCACTCATTCCCTGAAGACTTCGAGTTCCCAAAGCAGATAAGCCTTCGACAAAGGTACACTATTTCTAATCACCATTTAAAACAGAAAAAATGCTAATAATTTACACAGATGATGTGTGTGATAATACCTTTATATATCACTACTTAGTGTTTGAAATGTTAAAAGAAAACACAAGAATACTACTTACACTCTGATACATTCCTCTTGTTGTGCAGATATGCAATGCTTGGAAACAGTTTAAGTGTAGCAGTCGTGTCTCCTCTGCTTCGGTACTTATTCAGTTCTCCAGTCTTGACTGTGGAAGAAGGAAACAGCAAGTGACGCGACCAGATATAGTTCCGGTTTTAACGACATGGCAATGTCATCTGTTTTGTATTAGTTACAACAATTCATATCATTAATCTGTTGACAGAATCGAATTTGTTTCTCTGTCACCTCAGTGTCACGAGCTAAGTTTTGTTGTGTATGTTTATTCCTCAAATTTTTATCAATTCGAATTATTAAGGCCCATTTTAATAATGGGCCTTATTCGGCCCAGTGATGAATTTCGAGATAAAGCTTTTCCGTACAGGTCAAACACTTTGAAAGCGAGAGTACAGTCGGCATGTTTTATTCATGCGTTTCTCTTTATCTCTCTCTATTCTCTCAAGCAGAAAGACTTAAGAAGGGACACTAAAGAGAATAAGCAAGCCGCAGCGAGGAGGAGAAGAAGAAGCTTCTTCTACTGTGACGGTACGTTCATTTCACGCTCCGGGGATTTTACCTTCTATGTTTTTCTGCGATGTTGCTTTTAAGCTATTACTTGCAGTTTACGACTTTCTTTGTATTTTTTTAAATCTGAAAATAAAAGAAAAAGAACTGTATTTTCCAATTCCACCAACCTTACCTTTGCCTAGGGATCTTCCCCGATTGACCGTACACATTTTTTAAAAAATGTTTTTTTTTCTTCTATCACTCAGTTTACTGTGGCTTTGATTATGTTACGCATGGTGCAAGTCATTTACAAGCCCTAATTTACAGGGACAGATTGGAAAATGTCGGGGAATAGTGTATATAATATGCTCCAGGAAAATGTGAGCAAGCCTCGCTTCTCCAAGTCTCTGTCTTTGGGTGAAACCTGGAGTTCTAAATCCATGGTAA